CTTGATGAGCGCCTAGATCTGAGAGACTATAAGAGCTAGAGAAACCAAATTTGGTTTCCAGACTCATGTGATATCCCACTGCTACAAGTGTATTTAAAAATTTCGCCCCGCCCCCTTCCGCCCACACAAAGGACGAAAATCTGTGGCAGTCACATTTTTAAAGATACGATAAAACTAAAAACGCAGTATCGTAGAGATGCCCATATCTACCAGATTGCCGAATCTGAACTAGATCGGATCATAATTATAGCCAGAATGAAGAAATTAATTTTCTGTTGGTTCCCTCTCCTTCTCCAGCGCTGCTGACGCTACTGATTCTCTTTCTCGCTCGCACACTCTGCCGCGTTCAGTGCGCGAGCAACCCTAGCGGAGGAGATGTAGAATATAAATGGTACATGTACAATCTACTTGTTAGATGTGGAATATACATTGTAGATGTAGATGTAGATAACAGATGTAGCAAAAAAATGTAATATGTAAATTTTTATACCCGTACTCAAAAAAGAGTTAAGGGGTATATTAGATTTGTGGTAAAAGTGGATGTGTGTAACGCAGAGAAGGAAACCTTTCCGACCCCATAAAGTATATATATTCTTGATCAGCATCAATAGCCGAGTCGATAGAGCCATGTCTGTCTGTCCGTCTGTCCGTCTGTCTGTCTTGTTGAGCGCCTAGATCTCAGAGACTATAAGAGCTAGGGCAACCAAATTTGGTTTCCAGACTCATGTGATATCACACTGCTACAAGTGTATTTCAAAATTTCGCCCCGCCCCCTTCCGCCCACACAAAGGACGAAAATCTGTGGCAGGCACAATTTTAAAGATACGATAAAACTAAAAACGCAGTATCGTAGAGAATGCCCATATCTACCAGATTGCCGAATCTGAATCAGATTGGATCATAATTATAGCCAGAATGAAGAAATTAATTTTCAGTTGCTTCCCCTCCCCCTCCCGCAAACAACAACGCAACCCATTTTCCTTCTCGCTCGCACACTCTGCCGCGTTCAGTGCGCGAGCAACCCCTAGCGGAGGAGATGTAGAATATGATTGGAACATGTACAATCTACATGTTAGATGTAGAATAGACATTGTATATGTAGATGTAGATAGCGATGTAGCAAAAAAAATGTAAAATGTAAATTTTTTTTTTCTAAAATTCTAAAAAATCATAAGCTCAATAATGTATATACTGACTGAGTACGGGTATAAGTAGAGTCGTGTCCCCAGAAACGACTCACACGTCTTTCGTCCTCTTCATCATATTTTCGCGTATTTTTTTTTCGAAATTTTTACTTTAAAATCTCAGATAAGTCTAAAAAAAATTAAATCTATGGATAAACGGTCAAATTGCAGCCGTTTGACCAAAACAACTCAAAAATAATTTTACCTGAAATTAGTGCTTTTATTTTTCACATAACTTAAGCAGTTCTGAAAAGCTGACAAATGCAACTATAAATCGTGTTCAGACACTTTGTATCTGCAGCTTAACGCCTGGAAAGATATTAAGCTTTCAAATTCAAATTTCATCATATTTTGCGGTATTTTTTTCGAAATTTTGACATAGAAAGATGTCATGGACATGGAGTTCAAACGTTTGGAAACGATTTCGTGCAGCCAAGCGAGCCCTTAAGCGAGCAATAAAAAGCAGCAAGTCGTCCTGCTATTTCCCAGAGGAGGTGACGACAGCCATCGGAAACAAGAAGGCCCCAGACCAGACGGGATCCCCAACAAGGCCTTAAAGTTGGAGCAAACACCAGACCGGGGTGGTAAGACACCTCAGCAGAGTCCTAAGGGAAGGAGTTTTTCCCAAGCAGTGGAAGGTGCAGCGCCTAATCCTTTTGCCTAAAGGAAACAAGCCCCGGTGGAACCGTCAGGATACCGCCCAATATGCCTGCTGGATTCCGTCGGTAAAGTCTTGGAGAGGATCGTGTACTCTATACTACTAGCAGTGATCGAAGAGAAGGAAGCTCTGTCAGAATCCCAGTATGGATTCCGGAAGGCCAGATCCACGGTCGACGCCATCAGAGCGGTCACCGACATCTCATCGAGGGCGATCGAGGGAACCCGATGGAGATTTGGCACGAAGGAGTACTGCGCGGTTGTGACCCTGGACATCCGTAATGCGTTCAACTCGGCGAACTGGACCCGGATCAAGGAGACCCTCGGAAGAATAAGAATCCTGACCTACCTGCTCCGGATAAATGACAATTATCTGTCGGATAGGGTACTGAGGTAGAAACGGAGGAAGGACCGGGTACTAAGGTGACAGCCGGAGTTCCACAGGGGTCAGTTCTAGGACCTCTTCTGTGGAACATAATGTACGACGACGTCCTAGAATCCAGCTTCCGCAGGATGCCAGCTGATTGGCTTTCCGACGACCTAGCACTGGTCGTAGTGGCCAAGGAGCGTGCAGGACTGGACCTGGCCGGCCATAAAACAGAGGCCGTTCTCATTACGAGTAGACAAAAGGTGGGAAGTGCGACTATTAAGTCGCAGGACTCAATAAGGTATCTTGGCGTGATGCTGGACAACCGATTGAGCTACCGTGCCCACCTCGAGTACGTCAGCCAGAAAGCCTCCAGGATGCAGGCAGCCTGTCGAAGATTCTCCCCAACATTGGGGGTCCAAAGGCAGGCCGGTGGCTACTCCTGTCAAGAGTAGTGGCCTCGATCCTGTTGTATGCTGCGCCCGTGTGGTCGTCAGTACTAATCGGCAACAAGAGTCTCCGAAAAGGCTGTCAGTGCCCTACAGGCTCTGCGCTCTTCGAGTGGTGTCCGGATATAGGACGGTGTCGGATGATGCTGCCCTGGTCCTCGCGGGTATGATACCGGTGGACATCCTAGCGACGGAGATGACGCAGCTATACGCAGAGCGCCCGGAGTTAGGAAGAATGGCAGAGACCATCCGAGCATCGGCAAGACTGGCGTCGATAGCAACATGGCAGGCAAGGTGGAACATAGCCACTAATGGACGATGGACCCACAGGATTGTTCCAGACATCGAGCCATGGATAGGGGCGGCGAATCGGAGAGGTGAGTTATCACCTGACCCAATTCCTGACGCGCCACAGAGGCTACAGGAAGTACCTGCACAGGTTTAATCACGATGACACCCCCGATGTCCCCAGTGCCCGCATGAGAGCGAGGATCCGGAGCATGTGATTTATCACTGCACGAGGTACCGCTCAAGAACATGGTTCGTCCCACCACCAGAGGAGCTGAAGGCCTACATGACGGAGTCCGAGGAGAAATTGGAAACGCGTCTGCGACACCCTTATAGACATCCAGAGCGATCTGAGGAGATGCGAAAGGGAGCGACGCTTGGCGGAGAGTGCTAAAGTAGGCAACCCATCCCGCAAAGTAATACTTTGCGGTGATCCCGCGGGAATGAGGTGCGTAGCTGTGTGTGGTGAGTTTAGCTAAGAAGCCCCGGAGGGGTAGTCCAGTTCGTTGATTGGTATGGGCCGGTCACGTCTTTTTAAAGATTCTCACCCACCAAGGCGTATCCATGGAAAAACAAAAAAAACAAAAAACATACAATACATACAAATACACATAATCATAAGCCAATTCCAATAAAATTAAATAAAAGTAATAATAACTACTACTATAATAAAACTAACGTCGTCTTGGGCTTTAATCCACATCAGTGCAAAAACCCTGGGCCACACCACTAACCATACGGTATATAGATGTTCCAGTTCATACACCGAACGTGTCGCTGCTGAGTTTTCTGTCCCAGGTCCCCAGGTCATCGGCTGCTGGACCTGAGACGTTCGGCTCGCGCACCTGAGACGTTCGGGTGTGAACCTGAGACGTTCGGCATTTTTTTGTCTTTGTCTCAATCTATTTTTTCCCTCACTTTTTACGCATCCAGCGGTGCTGCGTGAGTTTTACTTTGCATTCGTCCATTCACATTCATGGGGGGGTCGGGACACGCTCCTCGCATTACCAATTTGAACAAAATATGAGATTTTTATTATATGGCAATGAACCCACCTCCTCCTTCTCCTGCTCCTGCTCATCCTCCTCTCGAGCTCTTCTAATGACCAGCCAATGGCTAGATAATGGCAGGGTTCAGTTTGCTCTGCCCACCCATGCCGGGGCATATAATATCGTTATTTTATGCAAGTTTCTGTTAGAACACCTGGGAATACAGCAAACAAGGCAGGGGTAGAGTTAGAGAGGGTGTTCGGAGCAGCAGCCGATAATAGTTCTTCTTAATATCATATAGTCATATATCATCTCTTATACTGCTTATACTTATCGCTCTCTCAGTACGCTCCCGTACACACGCACATATGCCAGTACTGCTTATAGTGCATTGCTTCGCCCTGTTCTCGCAGCAGTCCAAATATTCGTCGAACGCATCGAGTCGTAGTTCACGGCCACGGCCTCAAAACCTTTGTAACCCGTCGTGAAAATAAAAAACATTTGTAAACTTAACCAACGGAGTAAATTATTGTAAATGTGGAGTCAGAGTTCGGCCGAAAAAGCCGGCAGCTTCCAACAGAGGGCATATACATTTATTTAAATGATTTTAAATTCGTTTAATCTATAATACATATGTGCCAATGAGTATGCCAATAAAGAGAGAGAGAGAGATCACAGGTCACCCGTCACACATACCATATCTGCGGAGGAGAGTGCGGCATCAGCAGGACCTGAGCCTTAGAAGGAGGAGAATGAAGCAGGTCTAAGCCTTAGAAGGAGCAGGTCTAAGCCTTAAAAGGAGGCAGGTCTAAGCCTTAGAAGGAGCAGGCCTAAGCATTAGAAGGTGTTACTATATATGCATATTTATTTTACTTTGCATTTTGCATTTTTATTTAAAATTGCCAACTTTCAGTGGTCACATGGAAATTTAAAAACTCAGCAAAGAAAGGCATTGAAACCCAAACACGAAGCGCTATAATGAGACCCCTTTCTCGCTCCCCGAAAGCCATCGCCTCGCCCTGTCACCCCTCAGAGAGTGAGAGAAAGAAAGCCCCAGAGGGAGCAACGATAGCCGATGGACAGATGGACAAACAGAAGATGAACCATAACGGATGGCCACCAGGATCAAGGGGAGACTTTTCGATACCCTTTTCTACGTACATATGTATGTATGTCACATCTACAATAAATGAAAAAGTATATAGAAATTGTCAAAGCAGGCCAATAGCTAAGCAATAGATATAGAAAATATATAAATCAAATCTGAAGTAGAAGCAGAACGGAACGTATCTCAAATAATACAAAGCAAAAAAAAAAAAGGAAAGAAAAGGGAAAAAGTCGGGTAAGAGCCATGTACCCTGAACTATAACATTTCATTTAACTCTATCTACGTTTAGTCTAGAATGGGCGAGAGAGAGTTGGAAGATTACGATGCAGTGATGTGGGAAGACCGGCGGGACTTTCGGGAGATATTGTTGCAATTTAATAATGCGTTCAAACACTTAAATAGAACTATGCTAAAATTTTTTTTCTTCATCTTTATTGGCATACTCATTGGCAAATATGTATTATAGATTAAACAAATTTAAAATCATTTAAATAAATGTATATGCCGTCTCTAACTCTACCCCTGCCCTGTTTTCTGTATTCCCAGGGTATTCCAACAGAAACTTGCATAAAATAACGATATTATATGCCCCGGCATGGGTGGGCAGAGCAAACTGGACCCTGCCATTATCAAGCCATTGGCTGGTCATTAGAACAGCTCGAGAGGAGGATGAGCAGGAGCAGGAGAAGAGGAGGTGGGTTCATTGCCATATAATAAAAATCTCATATTTTATTCAAATTGGTAATGCGAGGAGCGTGTCCCGACCCCCCCATGAATGTGAATGGACGAATGCAAAGTAAAACTCACGCAGCACCGCGGGATGCGTAAAAAGTGAGGGAAAAAATAGATTGAGACAAAGACAAAAAAATGCCGAACGTCTCAGGTCCACACCCGAACGTCACAGGTCCAGCAGCCGATGACCTGGGGACCTGGGACAGAAAACTCAGCAGCGACACGTTCGGTGTATGAACTGGAACATCTATATACCGTATGGTTAGTGGTGTGGCCCAGGGTTTTTGCACTGATGTGGATTAAAGCCCAAGACGACGGTAGTTTTATTATAGTAGTAGTTATTGTTACTTTAATTTAATTTTATTGAAATTGGATTATGATTATGTGTATTTGTATGTGTGTAATTTGTGATTTCCCAGTGGACCAAAACTTCGTAAACGATATCGCAAACGTGAGTTACGCGAAACTCAAGCGGGTAAAACTATCGAATTGAGATCGAAAAACGATAATAAAAAAATGAATCACTAGTCGCTCAATTTGTGGCAGTGAAAGTTTCGTTTTCGGTAGCTCGAATAAGGTATCGTTTGCGGACCTTTTATAATATCTTTTGCGAGCCTTTTATGCTATCTTTTACGATACGTTTTTAATATCATTATCGAGCCGAAAGTAATATTAAAAGTAGCCCACTAGTAATATTAAAAGTAAATTAAAAATAATATTTTTTGTCTCGTATTTTGTTCGCATATTTATTATTTAAGTAGGGACGGCGCAAACGCTATTCCCGGCTATCAAAATTTACACAGACGAGATATTTACATTAGGAATAATCGCAAAAGTCAACTCAGCCGACGTGCAATGACCAAGTCTTACTCCGGAGGAACACGCTCGTGATCATGGTTAACCTCTACGCCTCTGATCGGCATCGGGGTTTCCATGTCCCACATCCAGAAGCAGATGGGAATTATAAACCTATCCTACTGCTACCCAAGAACACTGAATAGTTTTAAGACTTGTCCAGTTTTCACTAATTATACCCGTACTCAAAAAAGAGTTAAGGGGTATATTAGATTTGTGGTAAAAGTGGATGTGTGTAACGCAGAGAAGGAAAATTTTCCGACCCCATAAAGTATATATATTCTTGATCAGCATCAATAGCCGAGTCGATATAGCTATGTCTGTCTGTCCGTCTGTCTGTCTGTCTGTCTGTCTGTCTGTCTGTCTGTCTGTCTGTCTGTCTGTCTCGATGAGCACCTATCTAGAGACTATAAGAGCTAGGGCAACCAAATTTGGTTTCCAGACTCATGTGATATCCCACTGCTACAAGTGTATTTCAAAATTTCGCCCCGCCCCCTTCCGCCCCCACAAAGAACGAAAATCTGTGGCAGGCACATTTTTAAAGATACGATAAAACTAAAAACGCAGTATCGTAGAGAATGACCATATCTACCAGACTGCCGAATCTGAATCAGATCGGATCATAATTATAGCCAGAATGAAGAAATTAATTTTCAGTTGCTTCCCCTCCCCCTCCCGCCAACGACAACACAACTCATTTTCCTTCTCGCTCGCACACTCTGCAGCGTTCAGTGCGCGAGCAACCCCTAGCGGAGGAGATGTAGAATATGAATGGAACATGTACAATCTACATGTTAGATGTAGAATAGACATTGTATATGTAGATAGCAGATGTAGCAAAAAAAAGTGAAATGTAAAATTTTTTTTTTTCTAAAATTCTAAAAAATCATAAGCTCAATAATGTATATACTGACTGAGTACGGGTATAAGTAGAGTCGTGTCCCCAGAAACGACTCACACGTTCCTTCTCGTTTTTAGTTCCGTTTGCGATAATTTTGCGCGACTTTAGTCGACGCTTGGTTTTAGTACAATAAATGCTCTTTTCTAAGTCCGTCTGCGAACATTTGGCGAGACTTTACCGGTAGCTAGCTATTTTCTCCGTTATTTACTTTCTTGTTAATTTTTCACTCAATTTTAAGCCCGTTTGCGTAATTTTTGCGAGACTTAAACGTCCCCTGGTTTTTGTCCGCTCAATGCTCTTTTTTGAGTCCGCGTGCGCACATTTAGCGAGACTTTACCGGTAGCTAGCTATATTTCCGTTTTTTTTTTACTTTCTTGTACAGTTTCCATTCAATTTTAAGGCTCCTCTTCCTTCTATGGCTTCGTACAAAAGATCTGCGTCTGTTCAATTCGTCTCATTTTTTGCTCGCAGACATCTTCACACAGACATACACATACGGGAATTGGCGTTTCTGTATGGTTCTGTGGTCCCTCGTGTCTTTCTTTTATTTTTTTTTCCTCGTTTCGTCAATCTTTCTATTTCTTCGTACTTTGTGCTCCTTCAATTCGCCGCATTTTTTGCTTGCCGACTTCTTTACACACACACACGCACACAGGAATTAGCGTTTCTGTGTGGCGTCTATTACAGATGTTCCAAGAAAATTTTTGGCATTGTTTTAGCCTTTGTTAGTGTTTTTACTCCGTCGATTTTTTAATTGTTCATCAAACTTCGCCTTTCTTGGAATTTTCTCGCCGGCCGTCACTCTTTTCCGATGTGTTAACGCTCAACTATGCACTGTTCTTTCTTGAACATTCCCGGACGAGCCCCCAATATTTTGTAGGGATTACAAATTATGTGTTTTTATTTTTGGGTAATGTCGCAAGTTTGTTTAACAGATAGGTTGCATAGTATATAGTACAAAGTTTCGTAATTAATATTATACGGTTTGCATTCACGGCACAAAACTTGACTCTTCTCGTTCGACGATCCGCAGCAACTCCTTCTTTTTTATAACCTCGAGGCAAAACGTGCGAGAGAGAGTGATATCGAGAATGCGACCCTGCGTCTTTGGCCTATGTCCCTCACCCATTCGTGCCCATACCTTGCCATGAGCTGGGCTCATGTGGGAATGGGGCATGTGAGGGAATGGCAGAGCCCAGCTGATGGCAAGGTATGGGCACGAATGGGTGAATATATATATATATATTTCATATATTCGGCAGCAGTAGTTGTAACTTTTGGCCCTTCTTGGTTGCCTGCTTTCTGAACCTCATAGCGACCATGATTCATTTTCTTTATAATTTTATATGGTCCGAAAAATGTTGGTCTAAGTTTCATACCAGTGCCATACTGTGTTCTTTTAATTGCTACCAATTCACCCAACTTGTACTCATTTTCCACCTTTCTTTTTTGGTTGAAATTCTTCCTATTTTCTTGCTGAACTTTCTCAATATTCTCTTGTGCTTTCTTTCGTATTTCTTCTCCACCATCAATGAGTTCTTCTACTTCCAAATCTTCTAATATTTTCCTGAGGTCATCATCTTTCTTCATCATATTCAATCCAGTCAAAACTTTAAACGGACTATACTTTGTGGTTCGAGGGCGAGTATTATTAATTATTTGCTGAACTCTGCCTACATGGCGATACCAATTGCCTGGATTGTCTTGACATATTTTGCTTAACATTGGAATGACAATCTTGTGTATCCGTTCTACCTGCCCGTTGCCTCTAGGAATACCTGTGGTAATATGTAATAATTGAATGTCTTCGTGACTGCAGTACTCATTAAAAGCACCTGAAGTGAATGCAGTGCCCCTGTCAGTTACGATTCGACGAGGATTACCAAAAACGGCTGCTTGCTTTTCGGATAAAGCCACACAAATTTTGAAAATCCATCTACGATTGCCAATATGTGGTTGTATTTCTTTTTTGTGTCAGTAAGTGGGCCTACATGATCGATGTGATAGATTCCCAGGGGTTCTTGTGCTTTGTCAATAGGTGTTAGCAGCCCCTCCTTTTTGCCTCGTTTGGAGTCTGTGATCAGGCATTCAACGCATTCTTTGACAACTCTTTCTACCTTCTTCTGAATGTCTGGTATAAAATAAAATTTTTCTAACATGTCTCTCGTTTTCCTAAAACTAAAGTGGCCCTCCCTATGCGCTATGGTAATAATTTCATCTTGCATAGACTCAGGAACGACCCACAATTATTTTTAAGGAAATAATCTTCGTACGTGTCATTGTTGGATAATACGACTTTTACTGCTTTTATCCAACTATAATTGTGCTTCTACCAACCGATACTTTGTGGAGTCTTCGATTAGGAAACACGACAAACGGCTAAGTGCATCAACATGCTTCATCTTAGTTCCAGCTCTGTGTTCTACTTTAAAATCAAACTCTTGTAAAGCCATGGCCCATCTTGCCACTCTGGGCGGTAAATCATCTTTTGATGGTCATTGCAAAAGCGTTGCAATCTGTGACGACTGTAAACTGCTTTCCCTCAAATAAATTCTCCATTTCTTTATCGCGTTGACGATGGCTAATACCTCGAGTTCGTAGGAGCTGTACTTTTCCTCGAAAGGGTTTGTTTTTCTGCTCATGAACTGAATCGGATGAAATTGTTCATCTTCCGAATCTTTCTGCATTAGAATGCCTCCGAAGCCATACTTGCTCGCATCTGTGTGTACCTCGGTTACAGCTATCGGATCGAACAATTTTAGTACAGGTGCTGATACTAGTAGATGCTTCAAGAAATTTATTTATTTATTTATTCGCCAACGGATAAACCTTATCTGGCTAGACTAACTTAATTCTACATTAAAAAGTAAATACAAAATGAGGAACTAACAATTAAACAAGAAAAACTCAGAAAGCAACCGTCTGACGGCTCCTTTCCCAAGGCAAAAATCGAATCGCATCCCAGCAGGTAGCGAATTATACCGGCGAAGAGCCCTACATATTGGCTCGTTATTACCGTAATTGT